AACATCCCTCTTTCTTCCCATGCAGGAGGAGGACAGTGAAAGCTTCTGCTGCCACTTTTGACTAAACCATTTCCTGTTACTGAATTCAAGGGACTATATATATATTAGTTAGCTGACATGCCAGGATATCAAATTGTAATTTAGAATCAGTCTTCCCTAACCTAGTGCCCTCCAGATCTTTTGGACTATGATTCCCAGAAGCCTTAGCATGCATAGCCAAAGACAAGGAAACTCAGGTGTTGTAGTCCAAAATATCTGGAGGGCATCAGATATTTGGGCAAATTATCATATAAATTGGGGCTAAGTCACTCATTTTACCTGCCTTCGTTTATTCCAGATTTATTGAGTTGAATATTTTGAACATAGTTGCAGTCAGTATGACTAGAGTTGAAAAAGGAAATAGTAACTTCAGAACTGTCACTTGAATTTATGTATCTATTCTATTGTTAAATTTATATCCTGCCCTTTTTTTTCAAGAATCCCAGAGCAGCTTACATGATCCTTTCCTCTCCATTTTAGTCTCACAACAACCATGTAAGGTAGGTTAGGCTGAGAATCAGTGAGAATCATGAAGCCACTCAGAGTATTTCTGAACATGGACTAGATCTGGGACCTCCTGAATCCCAGTCCAACACTCTATCCCATGCACCACACTTCCTGTTTAGCTATTGGAGTCTGAAATGTTACTGTGACCATTCAGGAACAGAAAGCTGAATCTGCAGCAATTGCTTATTTTAATTTATTTAATAACTCTGTATAAACATCCTTCACATCTTTGTATAGATTTAACCTCTATTTTTGTACTTGCCAACATACAGCTGGTAATGCAACATGGGAATGAAGTCTAGGGTTGCATTCCATAAGGGTGGAGGGGGACAGCTGTACACAAACTGCTACCTTAGTCACTTGCACTGATAAGCTGGCAAGTTACTTTTTTATTTCAAAATGCAGATGGTCTATTCAGAAATATTTGTGGTAGTTGCTGAAGATGCCAGAGCTGGACCGGATACTCAGTTTACCCCCATGCTCAAGTTATATTTTCATTATTTTGCAGCCCTTGAAATTTTGTCTTACATATGTTACTGAATAAGCAGTTGGAGCATTAAATCTCTTTATCAGTTCACCTGTTTTGTAATGACACCCCTAGTTTCTTGTGATATCCTGGTACATAATATGCTTATATCTATATTGGTTTGTTTGGGCACCTGTTGCTTTAAATTCTTACTAAAGCTCTTCTTTAACAACGGTGTGTGTATGGTTTTCAGTGTACTGTAATTCACAATTCTTATATTGGTTCATAATGTGAAAATGTGTTGCCTTCTGGTGGTCTTTTATGGAAATATTTATCTATCTATTTATTTATTTAGACTGATTCATTCTGAAAGCACATGAGAGTGCTGTGCATTTTGATGTCCATTCCCTAGGGGTCAGAATGATGGCGAGGGGGGGTGGAATAAAAAAAAAAACTTGATTTCTATGACTCTCATATGGAAAATATGTAAACCCTTTTTCTCTTTCTTTCTGCTCTTCATCACAACTGTGTGGGTGAATGTTCCTGCAAATCCTTGGTGAAACCTTTAGAAACTTTTGGTATGCTCATTCTTTCATTAGAGCCCAGAGTCATTGACTATATTATCAAATTATGAAAAGGGAAACTGTAATTATAATACTCAAGGCATGACTAAAATGTGCACTGGGGTGGACGTTCAGTGGTGGAAGGTCATATGATGGATCTTGGATGACTCCTGGATCTTACATAACCCCTTTCAGTGAAGTAAAAGGGGGGAGTTTGGTGTTTTTCTGAGAACAGGTAACCATTGCCAACTAGTAAAATGATTATTCTTAAGTGTCTAGTATTTTGGATAAAGTACTTTGGTAATCTGATAAAAGAGACAGGCAGACACCTGATTAAGTCAAAGTTTAAAGAAACTGAGGGATCTGAACATTATAATTTTACCTGTGTCCCCTTTCTTTGTAGTTTTGCATATTAAAAATTTAAACAAATTTAAAAGCAGTAAGCAATGCAATAAAAATAGAAGTGATGCAGATGCAGCCAAAGCAATTCTTTTTTTTGTTTTTAATATTATTATATTCTTGACATAAATAACATACAGAAGAAGTATATTTAAAAAGTAAAATAAAATAAAATAGAATAAAGTTGCCAAGGGATTTTGAACAAGTATAACCAATGCATTCAAACCCACAATTTTCAAAGAGACAAAAATATCCATCTTTCTATCATTCACTACTCTATATAAGTTATTATTCTATATACTGACAAATTTTCCAATTGCTTCAAATCAATTATAAATCAACTACTTTTTAAAGAGCTTCCTTTTACATCCTGTTAATTGAACTGGGTATAATAGAATTTCCATTTGTTATTAAATTATTCATTCGATCTTCTATTTACATAATTAGTTAATTTTGCCATCACTGGCTATTCTGCCAGCTTATTTTTGCAATCTTCAATTATTGGAGATTCTGGCATTTTTCATTTAGAGGTAATTTTAATTCTTGCTTCAGTTGTCATATAGTTAAATACTTCTTACATATTATTTGAAAAAGTCTCCAGCATTATAGTCAAAGGAATATTCTTAAGACTCACAGGAAACTTAGTTTTAAAGGTTTTTTGTATTTCTTCATATATCAATTTCCCAAATCTTTTAATTGTTTCAGCCAAAGCAATTCTGAAACGGCTTTACAGCACAATTCTGTACATGTTTACTTAAAATTAAATCCAAGTCCTAAGCCGTTTAGGGCTTTATAAGTCATCCTCAGGAACTTAGGACCTGGATATTTGAAGGTGCACCTCCCTATTCCTGCCTGACCTCTTAAGATCTTGAGCAGAGGTCCTTCTTCAGGAGCCAAGAAGATCAGAAGAGTGGCTACCTGAAGGAGGGCCTTCTCTGCAGTGGTACCCTGGCTGTGGAATGGGCTTTCCAGAGAGGTGTGCCTGGCGCTGACACTTTTTTCATTTAAGTACCAGGCCAAAACCTTTTCTTTTTCCCAGCATTTTAAATGTGAGTATTGTTTTTAACATTGATTTTATATATTATTGTGATGCTGTGTCTTATTTATGTTATCGCCACCCTGAGACACTGAAGGGCGGAATGCAAACATTTTAAATAAATAAATAAATCTAAATCCCAGTGTATTCAGTAGGGTTTACTCCTAACACTTTGTGCTTTCACAAAACTATAATCTACCAAAACTTGCAAAAGCCTTTTGAAGTGCATGTTTTAATGAGGTAGCAGAATTTACTGAGTGATAGCCAGTCAGCTATCCCTTTCTTGAAGGAACGTGAGGCAGGACCTTCTCAGGTAACCATAGTAAGTGGAATAGATCATAAAGGAGTAGGATTTCCCCAGAGTCTACAGGGTGTGGACTGTAGAGTTTATCCCAGAAAAAAATAGGAAGCCCATTCAGTTGCAGAGAAAGCATAATTCTTATTCATACTCTAGACAAACATGAGCTGGTGCATTACCTTAAGCACCTAAAGCAATGTGGATTCATTATGGAGTATGCAGTGTGATATCTAGGTTCCAGATTAAATGTATACTTAAATGTATACATTAAATGAATACTTGTGTTTCCCATGTATTTTCTTAATTCAAAACACCATAAACTTGTTCATCAATGGATAATGGTTGTTAAGGTGAGCTTTTATCATTCTTAGGTGCACTTTGACTCGGAATACCATAATCAGGGTTCCATTGTAGTGAGCATTGCAAATATTTGAGTGTGAAACATCTCAACAGAATAGATGCTTTTACTGTAGAAGATTACATGGGTCAGCATCCCAAGAATTACATACCAGCTTCAGGATATAATGAGCAACCACCCCAGACTATGATATGGCATGCAAGGATAGTCTTCAATGGTAAAGGATTTTTTTAAAGTTTCACAGGATTAAATCCCAAGTGCCTTGTACAGATAAATGTCATTACTTTGATCAAGCAAGATGATTGTTCCTTTCCATGTGCATTAAAATCTACCAGTGAAGCATCTTACAAAAAGAAAGTATGCAATAGGAAATACTTAGTCCATGTTCCATTTTCATCTTTAGAAAGATAGGAATTCTTATATGGCTAAAAGATAATAAAATGTTTAAGACATTGGTTATACAATTCACTGGGATCTGTTCCTGAGCATAAGATGTTGGTGCAGTGGGAACATTTTCCAATCTCTTTATGGGAATCACTATTATACATAAACTAAGTCTTGTTTCCCTACCAATATAACACCACAGAATGTCTGTGGAAGGCGGACCATGTTCTAGCCACCTCAGATAGGATTTTCTGTCTGTTCAATCCAGAATTGACAGATACCCTTCGCTTGAAATAGAAAATGTTACAGAATAACCTGCTCTGGCTTGACTAGTAATATGGAAAGATTTTTAAAAAATATAAAGGTAATCACTATACATCTTAGTGCACATTTTACACAGACATGCAGAATGTTGACTTGCAATGCAAAATTAGTACTCCAAAGTAGTCTCTGACTGTGGGCATCTCTAATGTGCAATTTTGTAACCCTATGTTTTGCCTTTGCTTTCAATAATGCTGTGCATCTGAATCTGAGCTTGCAAACAGCCTTTAAGCAAAAGTGATGCAGTATAGTAAAGAGAGCTGTTTGCTGCCAAAAACCAACAAGAAATGGAGGGGTATTTTGGGGGAAGTTTGTTTGTTTTTATGATATGCAGCAGTCCATCTATGCAATGTCTGCATCACCTTAAAGTCTGCACGTGTGTACAGTGGTGTGGCCTGTTAGATTTAAACTAGTTTGAGCAAATTGTGCTGAAATTTAGTTATCAAAATTTATAGACAACTATTAGAAATACAGTAGAAATCTTGCTTCTTATGTAGAGTGTGAGTTTAAACATACCAGTTTATCAGAACTTTTAAAAACCAGTCTTAACATGATTTTAAATAATTTGACTATTTGACTATTATTTACTGAATTGTACTAAAGTTTTTTTATTTTATTTTTGCTTTCAGTGAAAGAGTTTCTAGCCAAAGCCAAAGAAGATTTTTTAAGAAAATGGGAAAGTCCTCCTCAGGTGATGAACTATTTAAATTGGCACTGACATATAATTCAGTCCTTTGCATTTAGAAATAAATGAGTCACTTTTACATCCCCACTTTCATAAAATGCATAATGAAGACTCCTACAAAAGCATAAGGTATCATGCAAAGGAAAATCTAAAAAAATGTATGAACATAAATACACATTCATTACTGAGCATTTAGCCAAAGAAATAAGTTTTGTTAGTCTATGCACAGAAAATTAATTTGAGCACTGTTTATGTAAAGCAGCCTTCCCCAACCTTGCAGTTTCCAGATGTGTTAAAGTACAACTTCCAGCATTCCTGACAGTTGACCATATTGGTTGGGGCTGATGGGGACTAAAGGCCAAAACAACTGGAAGGTACCAGCTTGGGGAAGACTGCTCTACCATATGGTAGAGATTGCATGAGAGTTCATGTGCCTCCTCATTCTGATAGTTTTTTGAGATATACTAAAATATGCTGTGTGGAACAAATACCATTCAGCAAGTGGTTGCTAGAGTTGCATTTAAAGCCAGATCCTGAGCTTGTATAATGAATAATGAATTTATGCAAAACATATAGATCCCAGACTGAGATGTTGATCAGAATTCTCCTGAAGTTGCTATTTCTAATCCTGAAATCAGGATCTCTAATGCTTGGAGTCAAAAGCTGAATTTTATTTCCTTCTATTTTCTCCATGTGGTAATTTGGTATAAATTTCCTTACACCTAAAGAAATGCATGATTATAGTTTATATCATTTTATATTATATAATATGTAAATCTGCTCTTTATATCTTAAGGCTAATGTGTTAGTGGATAAAGTCATGCCTGTTCCAAGAGACAGAGATAAACCAATGAGTCCAGGAAATCTGAATCCACAGTGACAGGGGAAAGTGCAGAACTCTACACACACACACACACACACACACACACACACACGCACGCACGCACGCACGCACTTTGACAATCTCCCGAGTGCAGACCTTTTAAATATCTCCTGTAGAGTAAAATGAAAGGCAATGACTTCAGTGGGGGAAAAACATAACAGATCAGAACTAGGAGGGTCTCATTGTGAGGTGGAGGGAAGCCACTTGATCTTAGTAAACTCCAACTGTCCCTTGCCATGCTGGAGCTCTAGTAAGTAATTGCCCTCTAAAAGATGCTCCTCATTAGAAACACTGTTGTGACAAAATTAGGGCTAGGTTGGTACATGAGTGAAATACGGATATTTCAGTGTAGCCCGCGTTTGCCCTGTCCTAGTGAGAACTAATCTTAGCACAGTGTCTCAGCTTTTCAAACTAAATTGTCATTATTCTCTTAAATCAGTGCTGTTTAAAAATACATTCTGAAAGCAATGGATATAAGTAGTAGATACTTCTGATTTCCATTCACACTCACAATAGAATATGGTGTCACAGTTTATTGTTGTTACTATATTTTAATAGAAGTTATAACAACATGTATCTTTTCATACTTAAAGTATTGTGTTGTCTCTCTTGTGTTTATGTAGAATACTGCTGGTTTAGATGACTTCGAGAGACTAAAAACACTCGGAACCGGCTCATTTGGCAGAGTCATGTTGGTGAAACACAAATCTACAGAACAGTATTATGCCATGAAGATACTGGATAAACAAAAAGTTGGTAGAGTTTTGTAATCATCATCATCAGTTACTGTGTTTGGTGAACACTAATAATTACATAGAGTCCTTTACAAAGCTGTGTTTCACATGGGGTAAGAAACCCTGTTGGTTTTTGTTTTGTGTTTTAATTTATTTACATGCTGCTTGAATACAGTATTCTGCACTTGTTCAAACCAGGTAAAACACAGCTATTTTGCTTCATTGTGGGAAAATGGCACAGCAGCTGCCTTAAGGATGCATGAAACATATAAAGAACATTTTCTGTTGGAAGTATGCATTCCAGCAAGAGTATGGACAAGTGCCTTGCATAGCTATGGTTCAAGTTGCTTTCTGACAAAACACTTCTTGGTAAAATTGATATAAATCTGAGCCATGATCACTATAGGGCACCTCTGTGAATGGAGAATAAATGGAAAAGGTGAATAATATATTGCTCAACAAAACAATACAAAGATGTCTAATGAAACTGTAGTGATTAGCCTATTTGCCTCATATCCAACAATCGACTCTTGAGTATTTGCAGCATCTGATAATACTGTTGTGATCTAGTTTTGGCCCTCATGGGTGAAGGAGTGAATATCTGTCCAAGAATTTTCCTGAGGTTTGTTTTAAATAAGAATCACCAGTTTCTGGTAGAGATAGCCAATTCTGATGCTTCTTTTTTCCATTTTCAAATAAATTGGAAATTTATTTCCTGAATTTCTGCAGTCAACCTTGAACATTTCATATTTATTGGCAATGAATACTGAAGTACACGGTTTCTAAGTTTAGAATTTTGATAGTCGAATTGAATTATCAATCAGATTGATAATACGTAATATATTTTTCTCCTCTGCTATTTCATTACAATGGATAAATTCTAATTACAATAGGTAAATTCTAATGAAAAACTCACTGTGCAGTTTCACTGTGTATAGCTTGCTAAGGGAGCATTCCTATATCCCATGCCCTCAATGCACATAAGCCTTTCAAGTCAGACATACATGCATCCTGTGCCTGGAACAGTGGCAGCAATCTATATTTATTAATTTAAAACATTTGTATGCCACCCAATTGTACCACAGCACCTCTGGGTGGCTCACAGTCATGAGATAAAATGCAATAAAAATCTAATTACAACACATTAAAAATACACTGCTAATAAAATACGGATAAAAATACAAAAGAGAAGGTTGAGTGGCATTCACTATTAAAATATTTTTTAAAAAAGGAAGATCTTCACCTAGAGCCAAAAAAAATATAAGGAAGGTGCCAGGTGAATCTTCTTTGAGAGAGCATTCCAGATATGGAGAGCAACTGCAGAAAAGGCCCGCTTCCTAGCAGCCATCCCTCATCTCCCTAAGGAATGGCTCACACAGGAGGGCCCCCTGCATTGATCTCAAAGGCTGGGTAGGAGCATATGGGTGCAGGCACTCCTTAAGGTAACCAGGACCTAAGCTTTACCACAATTCATGCTGGGGAGTGCCTGATCCTGCCTAATCTTGGAAGCTAAGCAGGGCTGGGCTTGGTTGAAATCTGGATGGGTGATTTGAAATGTTGTAAACCATCCAGAGCTATGGGTGGTATAAAAATGTAGCAATAACTACAATTTGTATGGATAGCCATTCTTGGCCATCTAGATAAAAGTTTTGAGAAGCAGGCGAGAAGGAGGCTTGAATCCTATAAGTCTATAGTACCGGTGTCCTCCCTGCCCCCAGCACATTCTTTTTCCCTCTCCTGAGGCCCAGTTGGGAATGGGCACGGACAGGGGGAATACAGGTCTCCTAGACAATGTCAGGAGGCCACAGGGTTGAATGCCCTAGATTGCTTTTTAGGCAATTCCACTCCAGAAGTAAAGTTTATACAAAAATGTAAGTCTTACAAGAGGAAGACTTTATTAAATAGAAGAAGAGATATTAAATAAAAATATTTTGGGGTTATTTAAAAACCCAGGCTTTCTGCTTTTACCATGTAAATGCTTGCATGGTTCTGTTTAAAATACTCTTTCAAACATAAAGTAGGCATTACTTTGAAGAGTTAGAAAACAGCTATATGTTGATACAACATACCCCATTGTGTAGTCAAACCATTACTACTGAATTGTTGACTATATATTTTCTATTCAAAATCATCCTGCATTTTTTTCTGCAAATCTCTATCAGGGGGCAGCACTCAATAAAAAAGGGTATTTTTAGTTTAGTGTTTAATATCATCTAGCAGCTGCAAGTTAAAAGTGGAGTCGGTATGTGGATATCAACATTCCACAACCCGTTTCAGTAGAGTAGACAGGCACAGTGCATTATCAATACCAAAATTACATGAAATGTCATGCTGATGTTTGCAATGTTCTGTGCCTTCAGTACTAGATTTTGTATTACAGAAATAGCTGCCTTTGTTTTGAATTTCATTTTACACTCAGAAAATGAGTGTAGAAAATTAAAATCTCAATTTTCCCTTTTTTTATGCATTGCAGTAATGCTCTTAAGAAAAGTATTAGAGGTATGTTTATACATGTTACAAACACCTCATGAAAATAGATTGCATTGCTTGCTACATTGTTTTAATGATTTAAATAATAGATGATTCCATATTTAAAAATGAAAGTTTCAACCAAGGAATAATGGCAAAGCTGTTCAAAAATTGAACTGTATATTTATTTAATAACAGGACAGATATCACTGGGCATGGCATAGGAGTTAGAGCTCTCAGAGACTGTACTTCTCCCCTTCTTGGTTCACAGTATCTGGGGCTAAGCCAAAAGAAGCACCCTCTGTGCAGAAATCCTAAGCTCTGACACTCTCCCACTTACAATATTGGAGGTGTACGGGAGCATGCTAACCTCTAAGAATGCCCATGTCTATTCAAAAAAATTGGTGCCACTTTAGACTTTAATTCCAAAAGAATAACCAAAAAATGGGCACTTCTAATTGTTGCATTTAAATATTGTGGCATTCTCAGTCAACTGTATAAAATACTTTCTGTTCTTCTAATAATAAGCCTCCAACCTTGAGTATATCAGGTTGCTCTATGTTTGGCCTTCCTTATTTCCCCACACCTTACCCTCAGACTTGTGTTTTATTAGAAAGCTGTGCGTATGAGCGTGCGTGCGATGTAGCTGTCCTGGAAGTAATCGAATGTGGTCTGGAAGTAATACAGAATTGTGGCCCTTCTTACCATACAATTGCAACCTCTCCATGGTTGTTGCTTGAAGCCACTGTAATTTCTTAGATGATTTGACAGGAGAAACAGGATACAAAATTGACTAATGACTAATACATAGATTTACATAATAAACTTGTAGCTTCTAAAATGAGTAGTCAAATGAATGTTGGGGGTACAGTTCTCTGCTGGTCAATTTATTGGTGTAATCACCCAACAGGGAATATGGGAATCACCTTTCTGATTCTCTGATCTTTAAACCTCCCCTTCCTGGAATAGGCTTTCTCCTGGTATAACTGTGGCATTACTTTAGTGATTCAGAGTGTGGACTTTGTGCCACTTTTCCACTGAAAATCCAAACCTATCCTCAGGTTATTTGACCATGAAGTAAGTTTCCCACTAACAGCTACCGGAGAAACAAATGAGGGCAGTTAGAGTAGGAAACAGATGTGAGGTCCTGAGCAGAATCTAAAGTATGGCAGTTAGACTGGGGCCCTGCAGCCTCTCTACTTCCACAGTAAGTGCCAGCATACTTAAGCACACTTTAAAAAATGGTTGGACATTCTCTCTGTGTGTGGGGAGGGAGGTGAGGGAGGAGTATTTACTGTCTCAGAAATAAAGAAATTTCTGGAAGCTTCTTGAACGCTGGAGGCCATAGATGCTTTCAGACAATTATCTGATAACATTATTAATCAAAAGTTATTGCGCAGCTGTTCTGTCTTCCTTGTCTTAACAAATGCTTTGTGTAGAGAATGAAGATGGAAGAAGCAGTAGAAAAAGATGGTAGAGTTAGAATGGAAATGCATCTGGACTCTTCATAAAATGATGCATTTTAGGTAGAACAATTGCCCAGTAAACACTTTGTCTGGAAATATGCTGTTTGGTTTTCTAGATGGCTTGAAATACATACTGCAATTTGAGTAAGAGATTTTTGTGATGTTGAACAGCATTTACTATGCAGAAGATTTTTTTTCTCATTTTCAAAGGCTTACGTGATATAAACTGGCTATTTAGAGGCTTACTGTAATATTTATGTTGTATCTGTGCAAAAACTATGTCTGTTAGAATTATTCATGATACTCTTGGATAGTGTTGGCAGAGAGATCGACAGAGAGTACATCATTCTTGTACAGTTGGAGATCTTCCAACAGGTAGAAGAGAATAATTGTTTTGCTATATAAATATAGGTGCAATTTTCTTTGCTTTTAGTTCTGTACAAGGCAATCACCACTTTTTTTTTAGCACTGTGGCTTTTTAGGATTTTTCTCATTCTCACTAAAAATGCTTTGAATCATCTGAATTCTTTTTTATGTTTAAATTAAAAAAGTTAAAATGTGTTTTGTTCCTAGGTAGTTAAATTGAAGCAGATAGAACACACACTGAATGAAAAGAGAATATTACAAGCAGTGAACTTCCCATTTCTTGTACGACTTGAGTATTCTTTTAAGGTAAATATTGTGCGAAGAATGAACATTGGCCACATTTTTATTGCGTAGCTACCTATCTTTCAAAATCTTGCATTTTTGGAGCAAACCTCATTTTTGGAGCAAATCTCAAGACTCCCTAGTTGTTAAAATCAAAGGCTTTCTGATCACAAGTAGATGAAAAGAAGGCATGTACCGCCACTGCAAAGAACTGAAGGTAAAGCAAAAAGCTCATAGATCCATACATTGATCAAAAAGTACCCATTGATCGTATTTGTGCATCACTGTAAGCTAAAAATTATGGCTTATTAAATCAGGGTGTGATTGAGCAGATACGGGTGCGATCCTACGATCTACTGGCAACATCTGGCAGGTCACAGGATTATTCAGAGTCCCACCTTGGAGGTTCTGTGACCTTGATGCTGGGATTCCAAATGTGTATCCCTACCCCACCCCCTCTCAGCTGGCACTAGAAGAACCACTCTGGCTGCCATTCTGAGGTCAGAATTCTGTCTTAGAGAGGAGGAAAAGTTGTATGCTGTGGGAAGGGGGGAATGGAAAAGAGAGGAGAGTGGAACTTATAGCTTACACAGTTTCCAGACAGTGCTCCTGTCTCTTTCCCTCTCCCTCTGTGCTGCTTCATCTAGATAGTCAAAACCAGCCATCCAGATTAAATGCTGGGTACAAAGTACCGTGGTGCCACCACACTTTGCACCGTTCACTGGGTGCATGTAAGCCAGTGCATCTGAGTTTGGAGGTTTGCATGTATTGAGAACATTGTGCTCTAAGCTAGAAAAAAGAATGTCTGAACCTGAGAAAGTAGTTAGGTGTGTGCAAACAAGGAAGGATCTATAAGCCAATGACAAATCTTGCTTAAAAGTTGCGTTACAGTTCTCCCTTGTTTGGCCATACTTAACATTATTTCCAAGTTCTACTATCATGAGATGATCCTCACACAAAGGGAGGACTAACATGGGAGCAGATAGGCTACATGCATCAGCATCATCATATCATTCACATATTGGTTTATTAATATAAAGCTAAAAGCTTTGGCTGGAAATGGCATATGAATGTGGCCACTCTCTCCACTTGGACTGGGTTGTTCTTGTTTAGTGACCGTCTGAATTTGTTCCACAGAAGACTTAACATGGCTGCATTTGGATAGTCAAGAATGATAGTTACAGGAATGAGCCACAGCAAACCTTTGTGTTTGCTGTCCCCCACCCACCAGCACCTTCTCTTCTGCCAGCATGGATAGATGAAGAAGTTTGAAAGCTTTTGCTTCCAAGTTCAATTAACTAGAATGTAGTGTATTGGCTGAACCATAAATTTAATATTAACAAATTCTTTTAAATTATTTGCAACTATGGTCTGGAGTTGGCTTGTTTCAACAGATTATAAAAATCAATGCAGTTTGGCAAGTTCCAGTGACACAATAAACTGAAGTTACTCTAAACCAGACATTCCAAGACTTACCCTTGAAGATGAGAAAGTGTGGAGCATATGAGCTTGAGGCTCACTGCTCCTCTTTCCATTGAGCAAGTGGAATGGGCTTGGTAAGGTTTAATTCATAGTCAGATTAAATATTACCTAATGGTGCAGCTTTTTCATTTATCAGAATATAAAATAACTTTTTTATTTTCTTCATTATCTCTGGGTTGCCAACTGAACATTCTTCTGTTTCCCTTAGGACAATTCTAATTTATACATGGTTATGGAATATGTTCCTGGGGGTGAAATGTTCTCACATTTAAGAAGAATTGGAAGGTTCAGGTAAGTAAGAATGAATAAATTAAAATTTATGCTTATCTGTATTACTGGCCCAAAGAGTCACTAGATGGTATAGGAGACAGCGTGCTTATCTTTTAGAAGCTTAGGAAATAAGGGATAATGGTAAAAGTTTTCTGAGAGCAGTATCCAACAGGATGTGATGCTTTCTTATCCATCCCGCCAATTCCAGTGCCCAAGTGGGATCCGCTGCTCATGCAAGGGAAATTTAGCACTTCCCAGGGGGACCTCTGAAGTTAGCAGAAACACTGGTTTCTGGAAGGAGGCAGGTTGATGAACCTGTCTAATGCAAAGTTCACTCATATACAGTTGCCCCATATGTACTAAATTGTAATTATGCAAGTGATGATGGCTCCTTGTGCAATGCATTGGCAAGGCACAAGAGGCTTGGCAGGGGCAGAAGCTCCCCATTAATTATCCAGAAGCAATTTTGAAAAATAGTTTCTCTTTAAGAAGATATCTGAAATGGATCCACGTGAAGTAACAATTGTTAGTTTATCCTTGAATTAATTTAAGATAGGTTATTGCCTATCTTAGTAGTATTAGAAAGATCTTCATACTCGGACACAGTTCATTATGTTAAAAATAAGTATGCTGTGTCTATGAATAGCAACTGATATTTAAAAACCTAACATTTTCTTTTATTATAGTGAACCACATGCACGATTTTATGCAGCTCAAATAGTGCTAACGTTTGAGTACCTCCACTCGCTAGACCTCATCTACAGAGATCTAAAACCGGAAAATCTTTTAATTGACCAACAAGGATATATCCAGGTACGATACAGAGAAACACACATGAAACTTGATTCTCTGCAGTAAGAAATACAGAGTGCTTAAATATTTGCAGTGTAAGGAAAGGGAGAATAATGATGATTAGGTCAGTAACCTGCCAGTTGATTAACTGGAGGAAATTCTGAAGTTTAATCCCATTTAATTTATACTTTCATCTGATTTTATGAAAAGCTTAAATATTAATTGCAAAACTTTATTATGAATGCCACCTAATGTTAAGCATTTATTCCTGGTTCTCTTTTTTCTTAATTTCTCATAGATTTTAACAGAAGGTAGAATATGTATCATGTAATTTAAAAAGATGCTAAAACAATCCTTTTGAGTCTAATAGAGAAGGCCATCAGTGACTAGTAGTCATGATGGCTCCATATTACTTAAGATATCAGTGGTAGTATGCCTCTGAATACCAATGGCTAGACTACACTACCAAGAAGGTGCTATTGCATTCATGTCCAGCTTGTGGGCTTCCCAAAAGCAGCTGGTTGGTCATGTGCAAACAGAATGCTGGACAGCTTTTCTGTTCTTCATGGACATGGAACCACTTCTGCAGCTAAATAACAACATTCAAACCACTTGTAAACAAAAACAAAATCTCATTTAAAAGTAAAACAAAGTATGTGGTGTCTCCTCTTTTTGTTACTAGGTCACGGACTTTGGGTTTGCAAAAAGAGTAAAAGGCAGAACCTGGACGTTATGTGGGACTCCAGAATATTTGGCACCTGAAATAATTCTCAGCAAGGTATTTCAATGTTTTTCACAGTGCTAAATAGTGTTAAGAGAGGAAGACTATAGTCGTAAGCATACTTACCTGGAGAGGTTTCAATTGAATTTAGCAAGGTTTACTATGCAAGTAAGCACAATGACAATTAGGTTAATAGGAATAGTTATTAAAACTACTGGCCTTTGTGCAGCTTAAAACAGTGCTTAGGGTTCCACAAAGTGCAGAAGTGAACAGCAAAGAAGTAGCCATATTTTCAGAAGTATCCAAGAATGTATGCATCACTGGGTATGGCATGGGGCTTAGAGCTCTCTGAGACTGTACTACTTCTCCCCTTCTTGGTTCGCAGTATCTGGGTGTAAGGCTAAATCTGTGCCAAAAGAAGTACCCTCTGTGCAAAAATCTGACACTCGGTAACCAAAATGAATTATGTAAATAAAGTAGCTGTATAACTTATAGTACAGTCCAGTGAGACTGCCTGTAACTGTCTGAACTCAGAGGGCATTTTAATGGAGAAGCAAGTCGCCTCTGCATTTTTCCTGTCCCATAAAAGACTTACATGGCTGTTTAGATGGCATAGCTGTCTGATCACGCTGAGCAGGCTTGTTCCTGTCTAAATCTACCTACCGTTGCACCTTAACTCCTTTGCCTCAGCATGTAAGAAGGTGAAGCTGAGGTGTTGCCAGGATGCATTGTAGCATGCTGGAGTCTTACTTTTCCCCTCCGTGTCCCATTGCCTGTCCACAAACCTGCTCTGAGGTTAGGGTTGCTACTTCAGAGTCCCAGCCACTGTCATTCTTTCCATGCCAGCTACAAGCCCAGAGGAAAGTGCATCCAAGGTTGCCCAGAGGAAAGGGCATCCAGCTCCAAATTCAAAACACATTTCCAAGGTCAGAATTGGCATGCTGACCTCTTCTACAACAGCCTAGATTCTGGATTGTGTCTATAGGAGTGTGCTCTAGGTAATATAAAAGAATTGTGGAACCAGTTTGATTCTTCTGATGCATGCACTAAATAATGCTACCTATTTCTTTCAATGTGATAGCGGTGTAGAAATGCTTTGTTATATATTATGATATTCCATCTATAGTCTTCTTTTTTTCCTCTTGTGAGCAACCCAAGGTGGTTTAGAGGGCTTCATTTTATCCTCACAACAACCCTGTGAGGTACTTTAGGCTGAGAGTGAGTGACTGGCCCAGATTCACAAGGTGAGCTTCATGCCCTAGTGGGGACTCGAAATCATATCTTCTGGGTCCCCAGTCCAACTTTCTAACCACTACACCATACTGGCATTATTTTATTTATACCTTGCTCTTCAGCCAAAAAGCCTTGAAATTGCCAACAACATACCTATTTATTGAAAATGCAAGAATATGTAAAGATTTATATACAGAGTTTGATTTTGTCAATGTTAAGGTATCATTGGCTGTTACAAGTATTGCTAATAGTAGTTCTTCCCTTTTACCAGGGCTACAACAAAGCAGTAGATTGGTGGGCCTTAGGAGTGTTAATTTATGAAATGGCAGCTGGATATCCTCCATTCTTTGCAGATCAGCCAATCCAGATTTATGAAAAAATTGTTTCTGGAAAGGTAAGCAAAGATTGCTAGACTCTTAGAAAAAAATTAAATCATTTTCTTAAATATTTGTGTTAATTGTCTGCTTTTTCCTTGAATTTAATTTTTAAAGAAGTCAAGTTCCTCTTCTTCATCATGGTCTCCATGCATCACACATTATGTGTGCTGCGCCTGCACAGTGTCTGTTGCCGGGAAGATTTAATAGCTTTAACGGTTTTTGGCAGGAACTCTGCGCCCTCCCCTGCATAGTATAAATGGTCGGAGTGCCTGCCCTTCCTCCAGCCTGCTTGCAACCATTGTTCACCGTGCCTCGGGTCTTTTTTCTCTTCACTTGTCTCTTCATCTTCTCAATCATAATCTTTTAAATCTTAAACTTTTTCTTTCTCTTAAACTCCACTTTACAACCCTAAACCGTTCACCTTATCAAACCCCTACCTTTATTTCTTATTCTATCCCCCCTTCCCCTTACTCCTTCTAAATAAAAAATATATTTAAGAAAACCCTCTATCGTCCTTATCTCTCCACAAACTATCTCCGTTCGCTGCCTTTCTTTCTCTCTTCTTCTCGATGGCACTGCGATCAACATTCCCTAAGTGCTCACAGTCCAGAGCCAAAATGTCTCCCACTGATCCTCATGATCTGTGCCTTCTCTGCCTTGGAGAAGGACACGGGACTGACAAGTGCAGCCACTGCCATTTGTTCACCAGTCAGGCTTGCAAAAACCGTGAGAATAGGCTGCGCAAAATGTTAAGCACTGGTCTCCATGAAGCCTGTCTCAGCTAAAGCCAGCTCTTCCATGGCTTCAGAACCATCAAAATCCCCCCCCCTTGCCCATCCAAAGGGGATCTCGTCAGCAAGGACGGAAAGCGCTTCTCTAATTCTCCTCCTTGCAAACAAGGAGAAGAAGCAGCATGTCAGATCCAAGGAATCATTGAAACCAAAGCGTCCTAAGAAGGTCAATCCTGACAAATCCAAGCACCAGCACAAAAAGCATGACAAAGTGCCCCGCTCTGAGCCGAGTGCCGCACCAGTCTCGGTCCTGATCTCGGTTCCGGCTGAACCACCAAGCCACCATCCATGCAGGTGACTCCTCCACCATCACCTCTGCAGATTACAGCTTCGCTGCACTCCACTCCCAACCATTCTGATCCTTTGTCGAGAACTTCACTTCCCAACGGAGAGATCTGTGAATCTCCTCCCCGGTCGGGACCAGACCGTCCGCCTGTGAGATCGCCCACTCCTATGCCCACGGGTCAATCTTCTCCAGAGGGCTCTCCAAGGGCACCTCAACACCCATTATCCTCTTACCACCCCAGCCTTCCAAACTACAAGCATTGTGGTACTGGGTTCCTCTACCCTGTGGAGAATTCAACCCCACCCTGTTTGACCAACCTTATCCATGGGATTACGACCCCCCATACGGATATTACCCACGACCACCAATGTGTCCCCATCACTCAAACCCTCACTCAGTCAACATCTGCTGCGGCGCTCACCCATCCACCGTCTCCTGACGGGTCCTCATCCAGTCCACCCTATGAATCCAACTTGGATTCGGAGAACTCCCAACAAGCCTCCGCTTCTCCCAACACCGTTATCTCCACCCAAGGTCCTGTGTCTCCAGGCAACACCCAGGGTAGCTTCTTCAAGCTACTCACACGGATGACAAAATCATTGGAAATAGACATTCAACAGCGTATAGATGCCAACCAAGATAACATTAACAACATAGTTTGTAAGGAAGATTCTTTGTCCATCCCCCTGCCATTTATCACCGCTCTTTGACAGGCAATGACTGACACCTGACAGCTCCCAAACCATCCACATCCCACCTCCAGACGTTTAGAGGCAATGTATAAAGTTCGAGAGCAAGACATCCGATTCCTGCTAAAACACACACACCCGAACTCAATAGTCACTGAGTCCTCACAAGGCAGGCAAACCAAGGAACATTCAACTCCAGCTGATAAAGAGGGTAGAAAAATTGACATGCTGTTTGGATCTCAAACTACAAGGCCACCATGGCCCACTATCAATTTTTTCTCTTGCAAAAGGTTGAGTCCCTCACTGCATTCTTCCCAGACCAGCAAAGGGAACTGGCCCATTTATTCATTGGGGAGGCAATGCAGTTTTCTAGACAACAGCTGAACACGGCGAGACATCATGTCAATTGTAACTCCGGGGCTCTTGTCAGTGCCGTAGCTCTTCGCTGTCACACCTGGCTGAGATCCAGTCATCTGCCACACGAAACCAAGCAACATGTCAAGAATGTGGCACTTGATGGCTCTGGACTATTTAATGCCAAGACAGATGACAAACTTGAGAACATCCAGAAAGCTCAACTAACCGCATGCCACATGGAATATCCTTCCCAGCATAGACGTAAGTGGCCATGGAACAGATCCCAGTACCAGTACCAGCCTTATCATCAGCCATACCCCATGGGACGTCAACAGTATGGCCAGAGACAACAAAGGAACCTAAGACAAAATGCGCCTTGATACCAACAACCTACGTGTCAACCAGAGGCAGACAAATGACAACCCTGATGGGACACATGAACCTTTCCTCAATCCTTTAACCCACCTTCCCCTCTCCCTTTTGGGGACTGGCTGCAAAACCAACTCCCCATCTGGGAGTCCATCACATCTGATGGATGGGTTCTTACCATCAGAGAGCACGGATATAAAATCAATTTTGAGACTGTGCCACCTTCTGGCCCCTCCCCAGCCCTCCAGGAAGAAGTCACCGAGCTGCTTTATAAGGGAGCGATTCGTAAACTTCATCACTTCGAAGGACTGCACATTTTCTAATCCAGGTACTTTATGGTACCAAAATGAGATGGTGGGCTACGCCCCATTCTGGACTTACATGGGGTCAATAAATATATTAAAACAAAAAAAATCAGAATGACCATGCTCCAGAATATACTCCCATTGCTTGGGAAAGAGAATTGGTTCACATCCCTGGACTGGAAAGACATTTACTTCCACATCAGCATCCATCCTACTTACAGGCACCTCCTTTGGCTCACTGTTGGGACTGACTCCTTGGAATATAAAATGCTCCCCTTCAGGCTCAGTACCACTCTGAGAGTTTTCACCAAGTGCATGGCTCCTGTTTGTACCCACCTTCAGCTTCAGGGCATCCACATCTACCCATACCTGGATGATTGGCTTATCGTTTCCTCCTCTAGGGATGACCTTTTGGCCTCCATCAACACTACCTGTTCCCTGCTAGACCGACTTGGACTCTGTATTAATACTGAAAACTCACGCCTTGTTCCCTCTCAGGTCATCAATTTCATCTTACAGAAAAGACTGCTTTTTTCTATCTTCTGTCTTTCTTCTTCTTGGGATCACTGCCCAATGGACTGTCCCTGCACACTTGATCCAACAAGTGCTCAGTCATATGGCATCCATGGTATCAGTGGTGCCGAATGCGAGGCTGCAAATGAGACCTTTGCAGCTCTGGTTCAATTGCAATTTCCATCTGGACCACAATCAACCGAACCGGCTACTACAACCTCTGTACTCAGTCCTCCAGACCTTGTCCTGGTGGACTATTGATACCAGTCTCTCCTGCAGAGTTCCATTCCGTGCACTGGAACTGACCATGACACTTTATATTGACACTTCCCTGACTGGATGGGGTGCCCACTGCGCATCTCTTCAGACCCAAGGCACCTGGCATGGACATGAGACCACCAGCTATATCAGCTACCTGGAATTGCTGGCAGTCTTCAAAGCACTGCATTCCTTCCAAACCATCCTACAAGACCACACGGTACAGATAGTGTCAGACAATGTTGTAACAATGTTCTGTATAAACAAACAGGGTGGTATGAAGTCAATACCATTGGCACACCTTGCCCTTTGCATGTGGAATTAGTGCATTGCCCACAGGATTAATCCATGAGCTGTCCATCTCACAGGCACTGACAATTAGGAAGCTGACTCCCTCAGCAGACACACGTCGACAACACAGGAGTGGGAACTAGATTGTCAACATCTATTTCACGACAACTCCATCTGCAGGACATATTGCTCCCGATTCAATTGGAGATGCACTCATGATTTCATGGGAGAACATATTCTTCTACACTTTCCCACCAATACCATTAATGAGGAGGACCATAACCAAAATCCTACAAGACAATGCTCACGGAATTCTCATCACCCCTTGGTGGCCCCATCAGTCATGGTTTCTCACTCTTCTTCAACTATCACACAACAATTTTCTTCACCTACCTCAAGTTCCCCATCTTCTCACTCAGGAACACGGTGCCATACAGCATCCTGACCTACATTCTCTAAGCCTCACTGCCTGGCTCATTCATTGACTGTTTCTCTCTCTCTATCATCGAACTCATACTCTTCTCCTGCATCAATACCAACAGTTTCCTCAGATTTGATATATACACCTTCTCCGGGATCAAGCTTTCTACATCTATTTCTACATCATCAGGACTTTTCAGACCAATGTTGCCTTTGGTATCGACATCGGTACCAACTTCTTCCTCAGACCTGACAGACTTTCATTCTGATATACAGTTTATTCTCCAATCTGCACTATGACCAACCACACAGTGCTCCTATAATGCCAAATGGAAGCGGTTCACCTTCTTTGCTGCTGCTAACCAATTTCTAACTCACTCTGCCACGCTTGAGAACATCCTACAATTTCTAATCTCATTACACCACGGGGGTCTTAAACCTTCCTCCATTAAGGTATATATTGCAGCTATCTCTCATCATTGAGGATGCATTGGAGAGGTACATCTCACATTATCTTGTGTATCGATTCCTGCAAGGACTGCAAAACCTTCAACCACCAACCCAATCGGTAGTTCTGACATGGAGCGTCTCTGTTGTCCTACAGGCTCTCACTAAGCCTCCATTTGAACCACTAGCTACAACAGATCTCCACCTTCTCACTTGTAAAACAGCATTTTTAGTAGCTATTATGTCGGCCAGAAGAGCTAGTGAACTGTGTGCTCTTCATGTTGACCATCCATACCTAAACTTCCACAAGGAGAAAGTAGTCCTGCACTCCGATCCAAACTTCCTGCCCAAGGTTGTGACTCCTTTTCACCTATTTCCCTGCTCCATCGACACTGATCAAGCGCTCCCTACATAGCCTGGATGTCCATTGATGTTTAGCCTTCTATCGATCCCGAACTGAGTCATTCAGGAAAACCAAACGGCTTTTTGTCAAATACACAGAACACAACAAGGGAGCTCCTATTAGTACTCAAAGACTTTCGAAATGGATCGTCGAGACGATTGAACTGGCTTTCAAGATTGGACTTACCCATTACTTCAAAAGACATTCTACAAGAACTGTCACTGCTTCTTTTGCCCTCCGTGCGGGCATCCCCTTGCAAGATATCTGCAAAATGGCCACATGGTCTACTCTGTGCACTTTCATGAAGCACTACCACTTGGACGTCAAGGCCAGACAGGATTGCTCCTTCATCCGCGCCATCCTCTCCACAGTTCTCCAGTGATGACACCGTCCTGCCTCTGAGTGTGGTAAGGTTGTTAATCACCCATAAAGTGTCGGTGTCGGTGACTGGGTATACTATATGACTGGGCACCCTGTGTGTGTGTGTATTTTGTTTCTATACGTTTTCTCCCTTATGAGCCGGTTCAATACCAAGCAGCTCCACCTGGGGGCGAATGGATGGTCTTCAGCTGACTGGGGAAAGGGCGGGCACTCTAACCATTTATACTACAGCAGAGGGAGGGTGCGGAGCTCCCACCAAAAACCGTTAAAGCTACTGGATCTTCCCGGCAACAGGCACTGCACATGTGCAGCACCCATAATGTGTGAATGCATGGATGACCACTCAAAGAACGGCAGTTACAAGTAAGCAACCTGCCTTTCTCTCCTATCATATATATTTGAGGCATATATGAAGTTTGTCTGCTTTTGGAAAATATTGTTATGAAAGAGGGAATTTTGTTCCCTTCTTTGCTAAGGGAACAGTGGCGATAGTAGAGGAACCATAGGAAAATCCTCATTTATATTGTTTTGTTTTTAAGGTTGTGTTATAATCCTCATGGTCATGAACATTTTTCCTTATGGACATTTTGTCATTGCACAGCTACACCTCTTGCTGTGTTCAAATTACTGAAACCTATTTATGCAATGGGTATAGAATTAAATTTGTTTGTCCCTGTACTAAATAAACCAACCCAATTAAAGATATTATCTTGCATATTTTCTCTTTCTCTGGTGCCAATATGTTAGGAATTTCTTACAAATATAAAATTACATTCTATAAAATTAACATATTTATAAGGGGTTGTGAATATTTTACTATAATGTTTCTATTCCACCTTTCTTCCTTGGAACTCTGGAGTTCATTTCTGCAGTATCTGAGTGTCATGCTCACAATACTGAGTGCTTTAGCATTATAAAGTGCATGCTCTCTTCCTTGACAGCATTGCTGTTAAATAGTAAAATATTATTTGAGCCTTGAAAGTTTAACTGAACTGAAATTATTCTCCCAGTGCTATTGTACAATCCATTTAATTGTGGAAATTACATTAAAATCTGTGACACAATGAAGATGAAAGTTTTCCTTTCTCCACTCTGTTTATTGGCTATCATTTCAGCAGATACAAAACTCTCAACATGATGAAAGCATATCAAAAGGTTTGTATTGCTAGATGTTACCAAGAGAGTAAGGAAAATGAAACATGAACTAATGTTTCAGGTGACTTCCAGGGCATATGTCAGAATGTCTGGTTTCAGTTGCACTCTGTGTTTGACTGTAGCAATAGGCGTTATTTTTCACAAGTCATGTTTGGACTTCTGTTATGGTTCTAAAACATCTCAGAATCTTATTTCCCTTTTATTCCCCCATAAAGAAAGGGTTTGTATTGCAACAGTAAAAATGTTCAGTATATTTTGTAGGTACGATTCCCTTCACACTTCAGTTCTGACCTTAAGGATCTGCTAAGAAATTTACTCCAAGTAGATTTGACCAAACGATATGGAAATCTCAAGAATGGGGTAAATGATATCAAAAACCACAAATGGTTTGCCACTACAGATTGGATTGCCATTTATCAGAGAAAGGTAAGATTCCTTGTCTTCAGGATAAAATCACTGATGGTACACAAAGAATATAGAAGATACACTTCTTTTTCTTCCCCATATACAGAGTCTACCAAAGAAAAATGTACACACGCTTTAGGCAAAGAAAAACTTGTATAAATATTTTAATACTAAATTTATTGAGACATCATGAGATTAATACAAGTTACCTTTGGCCTCTACAATTACAAGAGGTGCTCAAAGTGGTGGCCATTAGCCAAAGTGTTCAGAGTGTCCATTGAGATTGCTGCACATATATACATTTTTTGGTGCTTTAAATTTAGTTTTGGCCTTAGAATGTTGAAATAATGGAAGTATTTCCCTCAAGCAGTTTCCTTGAAACTTTGCTGCTTTGTGTGATGTTCCTTGTTCATTTCTGTTGTGATTTAGACAAGGGGTGGGCACCACACAGCCCTCAGGCAATATGTGACCCAGTCCTCTTTCATGGCTACCACCATGCTGCCATTTCACTTTCAAATTTCAATGATAGACCACTACAGAGGCTTTAAAAGGAGACATTACGTTGAAAACAAGCTAAAATTGTCTTACTTAAGCATCTGTACCAATTTTATGAAACTCAGCAGCAAGCACTGATTTTCCTGCCACTTCCATAGCGGCAGGAGTACATTTCATGGAACTCTTCATGTTGCCTTCATCTAGTTCATGAGTCATAACTGGTAACTCCTCTGAGGCTAATGGTATTTTCTGTGTAATTAAGTATTTTTCCGTGATTAAGGTAAGATGTGGCTCAAAAGTTAAGATGTAACTAAAAATCATCATCCCTTCCCTTAATCACACAGTTCAAGAATCAATTGTTTTCAGACTTTTATACCAACCATCTGTCATCCTTAGCAAAATTAAGTGTTTATCTTTTGCTGTGGACTAAACCAAGACATGTTAAGCATTTCTTACTTGGTGATATGATACGCTTTTTACAAAATCCCTCTATTTTAGAGTAACATAGACATGTTCCCTTATGACAACATTTTAAAAAGCCAAACCTCAAAGCCTGCAATAGTTTATAAAAAGAAACTGGTTGTTTAGCTATGCAACATGAAAGTACAGTAGTAGTTATAATCAGTAACATATTAATTACCACAAGACAGGCTACAATTACCCCCTCAGGAAATTCTTGTATTTTGAAGGGAGACTACTTAAGCAAAATGTTCACCAAAGAATAGTAATCTCTTCTCATATACATTCTAAAATAATTGTTCAGTGTGAAATTTGCATAAATGTTTCTGTTTGTGATTGTTCTCTATTAAACATTAAAATATTAAAATATATTTTAATTCTTCATTATTCTGTTGCTTTCAACACTTCTTGGCATAGTAAATAACAGATTACTTCTTTCACAAACAGTTGGAAAATTTATTCATTCTGCCTCTACTTCCATTTTGAATTACATAGAAACAAAGAAAGAGAGCGAGTCAGAAGGGGTCTCCCGGGCCATCTAGTCTGACCCCCAGCTCCAGCCAGGTCCACTCACGACATGCCCACAATGTGCATGTACAGCCTATCTTTGAACACCCTCACCGATGGGGCCTCAACCACCTCCCGTGGAAGCCCATTCCATACCCTCAGGGTCCTAACTGTCAGGAAGTACTTCCTGGCATCTAAATGGAACCTTGGTTCCCTGAGTTTTGCTCCATTGGAATGCGTTCTGCCTTCCTCTGCAGGGGAGAACAGGTCTCTACCTATCTCCGTGTGAAATTAAATGCATTTTAGTATTAAGTCTGAACACTGATTTTTGTTAATCTTAAGTCAACCCTGCAACACATAATTTGAATTTCACTGTTTTCAACAAACCGTAGTTAAGGTTGATCAAGGCTTCAAACGTCATAACAAGCTACAGTTCTTTCAAAGCAGAAATGAAAATTTCCAGGTTCCTTGCAACCACATTAGAGAAAGGGAGGCACTCATGAGCCCAAGGCTTACTGCACCTGGTTTATAATTACATAAAAATAAGGCCTAGGTATTGCAACATCTAATTTAGTTGGGCCCTGTTATTTATATCACCAGGGAGTTGGACTTGTAAAATCTCCATGTCAGAAATTTCAGGATTTATTTTGTATAGATCTGATTTAGTCCTTCAAAGGGCAGCATAAGACCTCATGTGCTTATAAGAAATTTTCACCAATGAGCTTTTATATATTTTGCTGTACTTTCATAGTAGACCTTAGATTTAGCTATGCAGACATAAACAGATTGGAGTCCTCCATAAAAGAATAGTGAAATTGATATCTTTGCTGAATTAATCAAATTCACAGTTAAGGTTTTTTAACTTCCTTAGATCCATGCCTAGAGTAAAATGTTTTTATTATTTTCCTACTAAAATTTTTGTTGCAGATTCTTATTGTTAGTTCTTTAGACTGGCAAATACAACCTTCTGTATTCTGTTTCACACATAGGTAGAAGCTCCATTCATACCAAAATGTAGAGGCCCTGGAGATACCAGCAATTTTGATGACTATGAGGAAGAAGATATCCGTGTGTCTCTAACAGAGAAATGTGCAAAAGAATTTGCTGATTTTTAGTACTTTCTGGAAGATAAGAGGACATCAGGGTTCACACTGGGATCTTTGCACTCTGTTAACTTATAAGGTGGAGCTGAGACCATCATATTTCAAAACAATTACCTAGTTACTTCATTCCACAAAGCTGACTGAGGTCTTTATTGCCATCTTCCATGTGTGCAGGTTGCACCAACCCTTATAACTAGGCACAATTAAGCAAGCACGATTTGTGCTGTAACACAGAATATAGACCACTTTTCCTATTTACCTTTTGGATTCTGCTGTTTCCCTTGTTTTCTGTATATTGTTAATTTTCCCTTTCTTCTATTCCCCCATCCCTTTTAAAATGAAGTAGATGTTTACCTAAAAATGCTCCATTTTATTTTGATTAATGTATTTGCGTGAATGAAACTGAAGGTGTTCTGGCTAGTTTGACTTAGACCGAAGTGAAAGATACGTGTTGCTTCTAGTCTGTGCCAGCCAGTCCTTCTGTGTCTGTGTCTGAAGCTACAGTTCATAGGTTTGTACTTTTTTTAGTAGCTCAGACTAAACCTAGCCAACATGATTAGCATCTTTGAAGGTAGTATTTATCGCCATATGACTGTATGCTAATTGACTTAAACACTTCTTCCTGGAGACTGACCAAACTTAGTTAGTTATCAAAATTGAATGATTTCTATAGGGTTCAGTAGCTAGACCCCGTGCCTTGGTTTTCTACATGCTGGCAGTTCTTCTCCCTGCCTCGTATTTCTCTTTCCTTTCCTGGGCAAGTAGATAAATATGCCATAAGCATACTGTGCCATAAGAAGCACAGTATCTATAAGCAGGAACAATTCCATCCAGCCTAGGATTTGGACCATATTTAACCATGCTTCATTATCTGCGTTTAGCTATTTAAATGGGTTTCTAAACACCTTAAAACCCCAAAGACTTAAGATTTGGTCAGTATTGTCAGAGACTAGAACTGATTTTAGTAATGTCAAATGTTGGGGCTCTTGAAGTATTTCACATTTCAACCCCTTTTTATTGAAGGGGGAAAGCAACTTTTTTTTTAAACTCTTTAGCAATGAGAATAAATGGTTTAGCAAATGGAAAATTTAGTATTAAAATATTGATGCATTGCTAGATAAACCTGGTATTTCTGTTAGCTGTGAAGAATAAAAGAAGTAAATGCCAAGTTTTTATTCTGGTATACTATATTAGTAAATCAAGGATGGAGTGCTGCTCCAATCATGTTATCAGCAGCGCTTTGTTCACATGAAAAAGAGACAAAGTTTTAAACTGCCACTTTGCATGATGTGGTGTCTTCGTTTCTAACATGCTTTTCTTTCAGTGAAATGGAATGTACGGTGACACAGAGAATTGTTTGGGCTGAGTTGATTTTTGTATGATCTCACCAACTGACTTGGAAGGGGATTGCTGCCATGTGCTTGCTTCCAGCACTTCCACACACTTACTGCAGTGGCTGTTAACAATCAGTGACTAGGCACACCTTGTGCTTTTAAATCTCTCTGTACACCATTTTAGTTGGGCACTCAATTTCTGGTTTATCTTGAAATGGCTTGTCTTAAGATGGCACATCAGTATGTTTAAAATAAACTAGGCTCATGTTTTCTGACAATTTACATGCATACAGGGATGAAGTCTTTTTGTTACATGGATCTAGATTGCTAGGTACATGGTGTTTTGTAGAATGCCAGTACAGATGGGACTATTGGTATTGTTTCTTTTTAATCTGTGACACTCCTTTAACAAAAACCTCTGTAGACATTTACAGCCTGGAATAAGATGTATCATACAACATTCTCTATGTATTTTTAAGTTGTCAAGCAATTTTGCACATAATCAGGACTCTGTTTTCCATCTTTGTCCACCCCATCTACATGTGTGCAAGACAAGCATATGATACTTTGCAGTAGCAAATTTTATGTAATAAATATATTGTCACATTAATAAATTAAAAATATTTGTATTAAAAATGTAACAATCTTTTGTATTTCATCTAGACCGAGGACATGCTGTTATATGCTAGCTGTATGCGATAAATTCTACAGTAACTTTGTTGTTTATGAACTTTAAAGATTTTAATAAATGCTGGAGATCACCTTTCTGATTCTGGTATGAATTTTAGGCAATACTTTAATTGGACAAAACATAAGATGTGTGTCTTCGTTAGTACAAGTTGTAAGAATTCACTCTAGATGTCCATGCAAGGGGGTGAATTCTGGCATTTTTGCTCAACTCTAGATGGACTTTTTTTAAATACCCTTTTAATTCCTATGATTTATGCTTGTTTAGCTGTTTAACATGTGTCAGATATAGAAGTTAAAATAAAGCCTGTGTTGGAATAATAGACTGGAGATACAAGGAGTTTGGACAAAAGACAAAAAGATAATCATTTACAAGGCATTAGAATACAAACTTTGCAATATGTTACATGACCCTATAGTTTTAAACACACAACAAGCCACAAAAATATAATGATGCCTGCATTTAATTTCAGAAACCCTTTCTATCATATGAGATACTGTATATGACAGTAGACACTTGTTAATTTTACACTATTTGAGGAAGTAAATGTTGGACTGTATGGTATCTTTTAATGTATTCTAGTTGTATGTAACTCTCATTTTCAACATAGAGGATTGTATCTCATTAAGTAAATTGCTTCTTTTATTTTCTTGTCAGCTGCATTAAAACCCTTATTTTTAAATCCTTTAAGTATTTTACTGATTTCTTTGCAAATAACTAGTTTGCTGCAATAGTGTGCAATACAGTAAAACTTTATATACAAAACTGCAAATTAAATTATGTACAACAGTGCATAAACACTGTGCTGCTTTTTTTAAATCCAGGCTACACTGTTACGTATTCTGGATGGAGAGTTAAGTGTTCAGCTTAGAACCTTACTCTAGAAAAAAAATTAAAAGAAGCGTGTACATGCCTTATTGGAGGTTGTTCACACTATGACTTAAAGAATTCCTAATTAGAAAAGGTAGAGATGGAAAATTCCTAATTAGAAAAGGTAGAAATGGAAGTATGTATTTGTTAGAAGCTTTAATTTTGAACTAGGTTATTCAGTGCAATCACAGAAGAGAACTTATGCTACAATGGATGAATACAACCTATATGAATTTAGAGAAATTAAACCAAAGGATGATATTCAGGGACATAAAGTCTTTGGTTGTTAATAGTATTTGAAATTATTGTGTGCAAGATTTTTTTTTAAGATTGGGGCCATTAGATTGTCTTCACTCCATTTCACCAAGGTGCACACTGCAGAGACCACATGTTTTGGACAAAATAAACAACAGTCAAGACCTATGTCTACAGATGAGGGCACCTATTCAAAATCTTTAATAAAGAATACCAAATGCCTGTTCTCCTGTACAGAAATATACCTTAATGCCCTCAAGGTAACTTATCTTCAAGAGAAACCTTCAATGTCTAAGTGGACCAGCTTGGCAGAGTGGACTCTGCATCATGCAGTTTTCAACTGTCTAATTTCCAAATTCAGAAATTCCTCCACTGGTATTTTCAGTGGGGAAGAAGTGAGAAAGCAAATGTGCTGTTAACGCAATGTTCCGCGGAGTATTGTACAAGTTTACAGCTCTACCACTAATTCTTTAGGTGCTTAAGAAGACTGAAGAACAGCAAGCAGAGGTAATCCTGAAATGGCTGAAAGTCGTGTTCAGACCTTGTAAACCAACAAATTTGGGTAGCTTCTAGAGCTGATCTCTATCAGGGCCTTGATCCAGAGCTTCTGTAGCTTGTCATGTGGAGAATAATCTGGGCATCCTGACCTGCCAGAGTTATTCACTAGTGGTGCCCATTCTGTCAGCATTGACATTCCTCTTCCAACAGAACTTTACAATTTGCTTAAGAGTTTCTCTTGGGGAAACCAGGTAAATAGAATTCCATTCTCAGCAGGTATCAGAGAAATTCTGGAATTCCTTTAAGACCATGTCACCAACAACCTACGCTCTATACAGAGACAGGTTTTAGTACCAAGAAGCAACTTGAATGACTAGATGGCCTTTCCTTACTTGTCATACACACCTGTAGGTTTCTCTCAACCCTCCCCCACTACCAGTGGGTTTCTATGGAGCTTAATTTTAGTCATGAAAATCTTAACCAGCTCTCCCTTGAGAGACTACATTGTTCAGAATCATGATCTTAAAATCAGTTTTCCTGCTGCTGGTGACGAGTGCTGGAAGGGTGTCAGATTTTGGCACCTTTTCTGAAAAGAAACTGCATTTTCATTAAGGCAAGTTTGTATCAAGATTTTACATTTTAAAGATCAATTCAGCTTCCAGAAGGCTCAAGAATTAATTATCCCTTCCTTTTACCCATGACCTACCTCAGCCTTGAAGCAGAATGACATTTCCTTGACACATGTAGAGCAATCACATTTTATACTGACAACACACAACCATATTGCTGCAATATTTGCCTCCTTCAAATAGCCTTTGGTCAGAGTGTGTACATGGCCTCTTTTGGTCATGACTGTGAGAGCATACTGCATACTGAAATACATTTCAAATAACTTTCCAGTGCTTGGGAGTATTTTGATGCACTTATTTAGGAGGCTTCTACTACAGCTCTCTGGGAACAGCTCCCAGGGCAGACACATCATCCTTGGTGCACACCTTTACCAAATGCGAAACAAATATTTTCACCTTCTCTGACAGGACAAGATTCCTTCGGAAACTTCCCAGCAGGACATGCTTCCTCCATCCCTGGCACAGGTGCCTGCATTTCAAGGCAGAATGGACTCTGGGACAATGCAAACACTAACTCCAACTCCAAGTCTCTTCTCCCAAAGCACAGTAACCTCCCAGCCATTTTTTAGCAGTGTTCTGTGGAGGAAAGCCCATCCCCCCAGTTCTTTGAGCAAATGAGGAAGAGGGGCTTCTCCTGCAGCCCTGCCCACTGCATGGGAAAAGATGCATGCCTTCAGGAAGTTCAAGGAGGTCGTCATGCACAAGAAGAGCTCTGGGGAGCCTCCAAAACCACCCTTTCCTATGACAACATGGCTGCACCTCGATCACAGGTATGTCATGCCCATCTACACCACAGCATTCCTCCCTTTTAGCTGCCCGGGGTGCAAGCATGGCCAGCAGAAACCCTCTGCAGAAGCATCCACCCACTGCCCTCCTCTCCAGACCAGCGCCCAACCCACCTGCCCCCTGCAATGAGGCAAGCAGGGCTGCAGGGCTGACTTCAGGCAGAGGTGGCGCATGGCAGCACATCTGAGTCATGTGTGCAGGGCAGTGGATATGCTTGTATGGCAGCACCAAGCACAGCAGCACGGGCGAGTTCTACTCCAGAGCAACTTTAGAGAGCCAGTACTACTCCAGTAAGTAAGCAGTTGCTTCAGCCAAGCAACAGGAGGGAAAAAAAACAGAACCCAGTGAAATCCCCAACATATTTGTAGAGCTTCAGTAGTCACAGTTCAACAAAACACAAATTGCCAAGTGGGTAACAGCAGCATGACTGCTGGGAAGGCTTGTTTCTGTGTTCCCCAGTGCCTTTGTTTCACTCAGGCAGTGTCCCGTGGCAGGGGATGGAAATGGATGGGACTGTAGGGACAAGAGTTGGGGAGGCCCGCAGTCAGATCCTCGCCCGTTGTGAAGCTCACTGGGTAACCCTGGGTCAGTCACGTCCTCTCGGCCGTCCTAGTTCACCGGGTTGCTGTGATTGGTGGAGTGTGGTGAACAATGCAGGTCACTTTGAGCTCTTTGGAGAAAAAGTAGGATTTAAACATAATAAGAAATAAATAAATTGGAGATCTCTGGATGGCTTTTCATAGGCAGATCTGTGCATCTTTCCGACTTCCAGTTGTTTAACAATAGCGATGACAAAAAGGCTTCTCCCTCAACTGGCTCTCCTCAAAAATTAGGCACATGGAATAAAGAAAGCCGGAAGGTTACGCGGGGCAGTGGATTTGTGTATAAAATGACGGCAGGTCCAGTTTTAGTATTGACACTAATTTCCTGAGTTGAGCATGTGCACAGAGGCACCCTTCTCTTAATTTTGTGCTCTCTTTTTTGTACGATGTCCTGCCATCACATATAGAAAGAGCAAAACGTGCACTGTATGCAACCTGAAGGGCATAGTTTCAGGTCATATGATGCTAGCACTCTGATAAAGCAAAGGCAGCATGGCCTTCATCAGGGCCTCGATGGCAGACCAACTCCCTGTAACTGCCTTGAATATCAGAGCAGAAGAGACATGGCATGGGAATGGGCAAGTTCTATAGCTTTCTGTGTGCATATGCACGTGTGCATAACATTTTTCTTCAGAGTGAGATTATGGGAAATGCTTTACTTTTTTTGGCCGGAGGGATACCATTCAACCAGAAGTACTTCACAGACTTCATGCAGCACGTAGGCGCCTTCTGACCATTGCTATAATGGCGAGGGGATGCTGGGAGTTGCACTCTAACACAGTGGCCCCCAGACTTTTTCAGGCTGCCATTCCCTTCCCTCTTGGGTGACAACCCTAGCACCCCCATGCCTCTTTCTTGGTGTTCGAGGTGCCAGGGTTGTCATACCTTTACATGAACTAATCAGTACCCCTTGGGTGCCAGCGTCTCTCTTTCCCCATCCCTCTTCCTCACTCTCGCCAGGGCGTTGGGAGGGGAACGTCATGGTGAGCCACAGCTTGTGGGGCTGCAGTGGGGCGAGGCATTCAGCAGCAGCAGCAGCGATGATGACCGCAAAGCAGGTGTGGGGGGCATCGGGCTCTGGCTGGCTTGAGAGGCCCTGCAGGGAGGAGGGTCCCAGCTTGTCCTGCCACAGCTGTGCCATAGCTTGCTGGGCCTCTCTCTCTCCCCCTCCCACCCTCATCAGGGCATCTGAAGCGGGAAACTGCGGTGGACAGCAGCTTGCAGTGCTCAGGGGGTGGGGGGCAGGTAAGCTCCTCAGCAATCCTATTTTACAAACATTTGTCTTTTTGTTCTCTTTGTGTCTTTTTTATTAGTAATCTATATGGGTAGTCTCCCAGCTGCAGGCAAGTTCCATCCCTGAGACTCTCCTTAAGTCAAATCTGTATGTAAGTTGGATCATATGAGTAAGCCAAATGCTTATCATAGTATATAGTATAGTATATAGCAGTGGTTCTCATCCTTTCCTTCACCATGAACCCCCTGTTAAATACCTTTTGTGGCCGCATACCGCCAAGACTTAATTCAAGATTTAAAGCACTAGACAGCATCAAATATCACTGGTCTACAAATTGTGGGAAATTATCGACCTCCAAGATAAAATGAGCTCATTCTTATTTATTTATTTATTTATTTATTTATTTATTTATTTATTTATTTAAAGTTTTTATATGCCATCCCCTTGCTATATAGCCTCGGGACGGCTCACAGAAGTAAGTAAATACAATATAAATAACAATAACAATTTAAACCCAGAAACACCCTGGCTGCACAATTAAAACCTATAAACATTAAACAGTGTTAAAATATTGTTTGAATAAAAAGGTCTTGGCCTGGCGCCGAAAAACAAATAACGATGGCGCCAGGCAGACCTCTCTGGGGAGCACATTCCACATATTGTGGAATTCACATATTGTGATTAGATGAATTAGAAAACAGGTGATAAAGGTGCTGGTTGGCTAAAGTTTTCACATTCTTGACTGCACCCTACTTCTCTCCAGAACTTAGTAAACTCTGCTAGACATGTGCATGAGTTTGTAGGAGTGTGATCTGAACATTCACTGAACCCAGGCCTGCAGTTCCACCTTGTGGCTGTTCTACAGCATTGGTATGATTGCTTAAGAAGGCTTTACTCCAAACCTAGAGAATCAAAACAAATGCCTTTCTAATGCCTGCCTTTTTCTTCTTTACATTATGTAGTCTTGTGTGGGAGGCTGCTTCACAAAATCCTCTGACCTTCCAGGTCAGTTTTGATAGCACACAAGACTCTTGGGTGAGGGAGATTGCACTGTGATGTGTAAGGGATATGGAAGCTCAGAAACATCAGCCAGGTCCACATGTTCATAAGACAGCTCTTTGCACCCTGGTCAAGATCAAGTTCTTTGGATCTTGGTCGAGATAACACTCAGTACCAAATTCCTATTATGCTCAATATTCATCATTCACTGCATTTCAGCAGAGGTGAGGGTGAGGGTGGAGAAAGGTAGAGACCATGATAATTGTCACTTGTAACCTCCCATTTTCCTAGTGCTTTGTCCATCTTGAATTGGAAACTCTTTAAGAGAGAAAAGAGAGAATTGTAGCACTGTGTTTTTTAATCTGTAGCACAAGGAAGCACCAATACGAGGCACAGGTTCATCTAGAATTTCTACTAGTTTAATGTCAGAGTGTTAAATGGTTAATTAGTAAGTCTGCATTAAAAAAAGAAAATACAAATTAGCAATGATTGCTGCTCCGAACCCACAAACAGTATATGTTTCTGGCCATCTAAGCATGGCCCACAAGGAAAATTATGGGTAGATCCTCCATTTATTCGGTGCACACTCTGCTATTGATATACTTTATGTCTGGGTCCAACTGTTGTCCATTTCAGGTTTGGAAAAAATGTTTCATTAGGTCAGCTTGGGCAATGATGTTTTGATGTGTAGCCTTTCCTAGCAGCTTAGGCTCCTTTCCTTTGATATTTGGAGCAATTCTGCAGAGATATTCCTGAATATAAATGGTAAATGTAGTATTTGAGAAATGTGAGAAAGTATTACCACTTGCTGGGATTTCCCTCCCCAGTTTTATATATACTATGTTGGTGGAAGGGAAATCAGACCATGGTTGCAACCACAGAACAGAAAGCCTTACCACGTGGCATATTTGTCAACAGTAATAAGCCTCAGCCGGCCACACTTGTGGCTTCCTAATTCTGATACATACAGTCTGATCTAGGTTGCTTAGATTGGTCTGTGGGCCATTGTTAGTCCTCCCTTTGGACGGGGAGAGTCATTCCAGCATATTTAGAATGCCAGGACTTCAAATCCACACCCAGTAGTAAAGGTAATTACTTGGTGTTTTTATTTTTGTAATTCACTTAGAGAATCCTTGGACTAATTTAATGTGGAATATAAATTGAATGAATAATTAAATAATCAGTATCCCATGAAATCAGTAAGGCTTTAAGTCCACCATTTCTAATGCTTTGCATTGCTGACAATGGAAAGTAAGGACAACTAACTTAGTCTGGATGTACCCCACTAACTTTTAGCCTCTTTCATTCTATAAAACAAAAATACAGCATGATGTTTTGAAGCTAATGAACTGATTCTAATGAATCACGCTTAAAGAGGCAGACACATGCCAGGCACATTCATGTATCTTCACTGAGTCATGTACCATAAATTATTTTACCTAAGACCTTACACCACCATTCAAACTGATGTCATGTAATCAAGCCTGGAGTCAGTTAAATTATGTTTCTAAGGTACAAAAGCATAATAATGTTGCATATTTATATCTGATTTTTTAAAGCTCATCATGGCTCAAGAGATTATTTATATCCATTGGAGGGAATATAAAATGCCACTTTTTCATGAGACAAGTAGTGGCCCAGATAAATAGGCAAAAGGCATTATTAAAGCTAGTGTGGTTAAGCACACAAGTTGTTTCATAGAACACCCTCATATTGCAAGAAGTAAAACCAGTGGGGCTTTCTCCTGCTCAAACAGATTGCAGCCGTGGTATTTCACACGACCCAAGTTTCCGGTTGTGTAGAGAATGCAGGTGTGTAGGCTCTCCTTTTCAGATACAGTGGGCTCAGCAAGTGCATGCTGGGCATAGGACTAGGAGACCTTGTCCCACTTTCTTGTTATACATTGGATATTCATGGAGAGGCATCTTCAGAAAGTTCCTGCAGAATGAGCTTTGTTGAAGACCAGTCAGCATAGCTTCTACAAAGTCGAGCCCTACCTCGCCAGTCGTTCAGAATTCTTTCGAAGTGTCAACACAGTGTCTCAGTGGTAGTGCCCTGAGTATGGAATCTGCTCTCCAGAGAGATGTACCTGGTGCCAACTCTTTATTCCATTCCATGTCGGGCCAAAACCTTTTTATTTGCTCAGCATTTAAATGGTTAGAATGATTTTATTGCACATTTTTATATACTGTCGATTGTGATTTTATTCAGATGTTGTTGTGGATTTTGCTGTCCTTGTGACTGTTCTATTTTTTATGTTTGGATATAAGATGGAATAGAAATGTTTTAAACAAATAAATAATCATGTTTTGGCAATTGATGCAATTTCTTCAAATTCTTCATAAAACATTTGTGGAATACGAGACTATGTGAGCTTATCTGAGGGAACGCCTATCTCCAAATGTCCCAGTCCACTCACTGGGATCTTCCTCAGAGGCCCTGCTTTGAATTCCTCGCCTCAACAAAGCAAGCAGGGAGAGAGCAAAGAGAAAGGCCATTTCTATAATAGTCCCACATCTGTGCAACATCCAGTTGAGATCCAGTCTCTTTTTATGTTCAGACATCTACTAAAAACATTTCTCTTCCACAGCTACTTTGGTGAGTAGGTGGATTTGATTTTGCTGTGGTTGTTTTTACAGATTTTCCTGATGCCAAGTGTTACGTTAAAAGAAAAGATTTTTAGGTACCAGACACTTTGCATTGAAGATTGTTTTTAAATTGACCATTTTAATATGTTTTATCATACAAATATCTGTCATTATTTTATTGCTTAATTTTTACTGATTTATCATTGTTTTGATTTGTTTTACTCTTATTTTTAATGTAATGCAATATAATGTAAGCCACCCAGAGAGTCTTGTGACTTTGGGGTGCAGCATACAAATGCAACAAATAAATAATAAATACATTCTATAAAAACTTTGAGCAGAGAATATGAATAATTGACAGTTTTCACAATGAAGAGTTGATAGCAGCAGGATCTCTCAGAGATCTGTGATGGTAACACTTGTGTTAAATTTAGTCATATGTGATCTGGCATCCAGGGTGAATACTAAAGCAGCCATGATTGAAGAATTCATCCATTGATGATGTCTGGTCACCTCCTGCCCTCTATGTTGTTGTTAGTTGCGAAGTCGTGTCCAACCCATCATGACCCCATGGACAACATTCCTCCAGGCCTTCCTGTCCTCCACCATCCCCCGGAGTCCACTTAAGCTCACACCAACTGCTTCAGTGACTCCATCTAGCCACCTCATCCTCTGCCATCCCCTTCTTCTTTTGCCATCTATCATTCCCAACATGAGGCTCTTCTCTAGGGAGTCCTTCCTTCTCATTAGATGACCAAAGTATTTGAGTTTCATCTTCAGGATCTGGCCTTCTAAAGAGCAGTCAGGTTTGATCTCCTCTAGGACTGACTGGTTTGATCTCCTTGCAGTCCAAGGGACTTGCAGGAGTCTCCTCCAGCACCACAATTCAAAGGCCTCAATCCTTTGGCGCTCAGCCTTCCTTATGGTCCAGCTTTCACAGCCATACATTGCAACTGGGAAAACTATAGCCTTGACTATACGTACTTTTGTTGGCAGGGTGATGTCTCTGCTTTTTAGTATGCTGTCTAGATTTGCCCTAACTTTCCTCCCAAAGAGCAACCGTCTTTTAATTTCTTAGCTGCAGTCACCATCTCTGGTTATCTTGGAGCGCAGGAAAATAAGCTCAAGGAAGGCTTTTTCAGAATTGTCTTCTGGATAGGGGTGCACACCAGGGCAGGGTTAGGGTTAAAAAAACGAGGTGTCCTGGCATGATTTTGATGGCTGGGATGTGTTTAGAATGGGCAGAAATGATGAGCTGTACAGAAAAAAACTACTCAAGGAAGGCTTTTTCAAAATCGCCCTTTGAATGGTATTTTACCTCTATATTAGGTTAGGGGAGTGCACCAGGGTAGGGTTAGGCCAGTGGTGGTGAACCTCTGGCAGGCTTGCCACAGTGGGCACTCAGAGCCCTCTCTGTCGGCATGTGATCCAAGTTGCCCCAGCATCTCCCCAGCAGCCGAGCATTGGATAACAGCGCATATACGTGCCATGAGCATGGTCGGAAAGGAGTAGCGGGGCCAGGCAATGATGTCACGAGCCACAACTCATTAGCCACACCTCATCTGAGCATTCACATGTCCAGTCCTTGCACTCCCAAAGATATATATATATATATTTGCTTTGACTGGGTGTGAGGTGTTTTTCCTAAACTAAAACCTCAGTTTTCAGGTTTTATTGCAGTGTTGGCACCTTAAATAAGTGGGTTTTGGGTTGCAGTTTGGGCACTCGGTCTCTAAAAGGTTTGCCATCACTGATCTAGAAGCACCAGGGAAAGCATCTGTGTCTTTGACAGACAACACACCCTACCTACGAAATTTCATCTATGAGGCAGAGACAATCAAAGCCTTGTCTGGAAGAACTCTATATGTTCTTCAGACCCCCTCTAGGCCATTTTAGGTGGAATCACTCTGGTTAGAGCAAGGGGATAGTGGCCTATGTAGTTTAAAGTGCAGGCCCTTCTCCCATTACGCTCAGAGCAGCCCATCTCTGTGACCAAGCAGCAACAAACTTGAAACTGCCTGAAATTGTTGGGACCAGATAAATAGCTGATCTGCTTTGTGTTCAGGAGGCTGGGCAGAGAACAAGGAGAAGAAAATCTGCTTGAAATGCGTTGGTTAGAATGGGTTGGAACTATTTCTTTCCTGAGTACTTCTGGCCTTTGCCATTTGTCATTACTAAAGCCATGTTTTTGTAGCTCTGTTGTTTTTAAAAGTTTTAAAACCAAGTTCTTTGGCTAATGGGTGGCATAGGAATGTAATAATTAAAAGAGTTGAATAACCATCTCATTTTATTTTTGCATTTATTTATCTATATTTATATCCTGCCGTTTTTTCCTTCGAGGAACTCCAGGTGGCTTACATAATTCTCCTCTCCATTATCTTCACAACAACAGCCCTGTGATGTAGGTTGCGCTGAAAGCCTGTGACTGGCCCAAAGCCATGCAGTGAGCTCCATAGCCGAGCGGGGAGGAGAGCCCAGGTCCCCTTGGTGCCAGTCCTGCTTAACTGGAGTCGCGCCACAATGGCTCTCCTGTCATATATGTTCATGTCCCACCCATCTCCTAACTCGTCAGCACTGACCTCCCTTCCCCAGTACTGCAAAAGCAAAACGTCTTAAGGACGATTAGGATATTACATTTTCACTTATATATGGATACAAAAATCTTTGTTGCAATAAAAACATTATTCTGGTCATAAGCAGTATGCAAATTCTAAGGGTGGGGAGAGTTAAGTGAAAAGGTTCGAGAGAAATATTTTGAGTTTTTTACTGAAGCGCTCAACCCTGGCCTCGTTTTCATTCTCCCCACCTTTTCTTGCAGCGTTAGCCACTTTCACAAATGTGTAGTTTTAAAACGTTGAGTCACATGTCAGGCAGAGTGGTTTGCTGCCTTTTTAACATTCCTTAACGCATTTATTTGGCTGCTGCTTCCATGGTTTTTTTTTTTGGGGGGGGGGAGGGAGGGGGTTACATGGAAGGTAGTATGTTTCAGGACTGCAGTCCCAAAGCGAGGAAAAGTCGGCTTAAGGGACTCTCTGTCTTCAAACACGAGATTCTTCCAGGAAGGTCTATAAATAAAATGATTTCTTCTCAAACGGTCTTCTGCAGTTTTGGACTACGACTCCCAGCATGCCTTCCTCCATGACAGCTTCTTTCTGATTGGCTACACCGCGTTCTAGTTGGAACTCTGCATGTGGCTGCTGCTGTGCTGGGAAGGAAGGCAGTCTTTTGCTGGCTATATATGTATGTATATATGAAAAAAGGTAAGTGATCTGCTATGTGCTCCATTTGGAATGGGATGTTTTCCTTCCATGTAATGATTTACTCCCCAGTTCTTTGTTCCTGACCTAGTTAATTGTGAGCGCTTCCCTTGAAGCAGCTGCTTTCCAAAGGCATGTTTTATATTGGAGTGTGTTTAGGGAAATTTAGCCAATCCAAAACTGGAAAAGCAAGACTTAGTGATGCACTAAGGGTGATCCCAAATGGATAAAGAAATATGTTCAGAGAGGATTACTGCACACTCGGGAGCCGTGAAAAGCACACACACACACAACTAGTGATTTTGCCTCCATTTATTTAAACGCTACCTATTCTGTTCCTTCGTAGACAGAGAAGCTTTAATTTTGTGAAGCAGAAGAGTGGGGTCCTGATGTGTGAAATAAATATTTTCTTTATAATCCTTTATTAGACGTTCCCTGTTAAGCATCTCTGATCCCTTCCAAAGTCATTGCAGAGAGTGAGACGAGTGTTAATATTTGCTTTGTTTATTTCAGTTCTCTCGGTTATTTCGGGTTGAAATGCTGCAATTTTTTAAAGTTTGTCTTGAATGGTGTGTGGGAAGTTTTTGTCATCATAACGTGATTCTGACACTTTGAAGGACATTAAAAGCTTTGTAGCTCCAGCTATTTAGGGACATAGGAAAGCACATTAAGTGGGTAATAATTTCTAAATAGATTTACTTTGATCTGTGTTTTTAAAACAACTCTGAAAGTAACATTGTCTTTTTTGCTTTCATTTCCAACTTTCACAACATTTTCAAGGATGAGCTAGGGAAGTAAAAAATGGCAGCAAAAGTAGCCATCCAGCACAAAAACATCCTATCTAAGCTTCCCCCACTGTATCGTTGAAAAGTATAAATTAAATAGGCATCAGGTAAATCGTATAGAATAAGGAAATTGGCACTCAGTTCTTCCTGTACTTCTGTATTCTTGTTACTGCTTTAGGCAGTTTTTAAAAATCTTTATCTGGTACCTTACTGGAAATGTTCGGAGGGGTAATTTAGCTGCCTTGGGATGGGGAGAATGAGAGGGTGTGAAATAAAAGCTACATTTTTCTTTATATTCCAAGAAGAACTTACCTGAAATCCAGAGTACTTTCTGTGTTTTTTTTTTTGGGGGGGGGGGGCGGTGATTGTGTTGTGTCTGCATAGCTGTGCTCTCTTACAGGGAGGATTCAGTTTGAGTCTGGTGACCAGCCTCCTGAGATATTATTTCTTAGTAACAATTGTACAGCCATCTTTGCTAAAATACTGTTTAAAGCAACAAAACCTTAACAATAAAAGCAAGTTTCATAAAAATTCCAACTATTACATGATTTCAAAAGCTAAATTTAAAAAGAAGTGTCTTCACACCTGCAATAAATGCCAAGAGAGTGACATTCCACAGTTTGGGAACAATAAAGGAGAAAGCACTTTGACCCAGGCCTATCTTGACGTCAGATGCTTGTTTTCAGTGTCAGTTCTCCCTTTTGGGTAACAATAAAGAAGAGCGAGCCTGTGTAGAGTCTGTCTGTCTGTCTGTCTTTCTTTCTTTGTCTTTCTGTCTTTCTTTCTTTCTCCACTGTGTAGTCAATCCCAGACCCACCTGAAAGTACAGAAAAGAGTTCCCAGATCAGAATGCCCATTTCAGGCAGCTTTTTAAATCCTTGTGCATCACATACTAACAACTAGCTTGACTGACAAGTGTATTTTTCTGTATACCCACAGCTGTGTAGTGGCTACCGAGAAAGAGTTACGAGCCAGGAAGTCCTTTGTTCAAATAAACCATAAACTTGCTGATTAGCCAGAGGCAAAGCACCATACTTACAGTTGCAGCCTCCACCACCCCAAATCTGCAATATGGGAATAACAGTAATACTGCTGGTAGAATTTTGAAAGAATGCATGTGAAGCATTTTGAAGACTCTGAAGCACTAAATAAATGCTAAATGGTATAGGATAATAATATATAATTTAAGCAAAATGATTGATGGTAGTTTGTCACATGACTTTAACATGCACTAGGTTCCATGTCAGGGTAACTTTCTTTTATCTCGGTGGCTGTAAAATAGCACACATCTTAAGCACTTCTAGCAAGTGACCTGTCAATTCCAGGAAACTGAACTTAGGATAACAGCTTTACAGCTATTGGTTGTTCACATACACAAATGCCTTTTGTTTGTTTGTTTGTTTGTTTGTTCGTTTGTTCGTTCGTTCGTTCATTCTTTCCTTCCTTCCTTCCTTCCTTCCTTCTTTCCTTCCTTCCTTGTTGTTGTTTTTCCCACTATTTATGCTGTTCAGAGTGCAAGTGTGGTTGCTCATGTAACCACATGGCACCAACCACACAGGAGGAGGAGATACCGGAACGCTTGGGGGAATCCCAAGGTTTGCAAAAGTACAAATATGTTTAGGGGAAAATGTGAAGTGGAGCAGAATGCACAGAGCCACATATCCCAAAACACCCCAATACGGAATGCATCTAGTGACCATGAACTGCTGGTTAACGAGCGGAGGGGTGGAGCCGAGGTGGAAGGAGAATAGACAGAGGAATCTTGAAAAAGGGCATGACCAACTGACTAGAACATTGTGAAGGAGCACTTCACCTGCAACACTTTGTCGCAGCTCCCATTTGTGAGTGTCTCTTATTTATCTGTGCTTAAGATACAAACAAAAGGAATTTCTCAGGCAAGAAGGGACTTAATGTTTTCTCCTATTTCTTCAGTAAATATCCACAGAAGTATGTATCCACAGTTGCCAGTTTTCTAAATGTACAGCCTTTCCCATTCCCCAACCTTTCCCATTCCCTATTTATTCTGAAGATATTTAAATCCTATCTTCAGAATAAATCTAAGCAGTGGTCCTAAAAGCAGAATCTTCCCTTTTTTATCGTACTTTCACACAGCAAAAATTGGCTCTGAACTCTATTTTTCAAGGACAGCTGTTGGTTTGTTCAGTGAGACACAGGGAGAAAATAATTGCAATTAACAGGAAGGTTTGTGTGATAGCTGGCAGAAAGCTTTGGAGCCACCATGAAGCACACCCTGCTTTCCAGGAAAAAAAAAGTAATGGAGATAGAATAGTTGTCCAGTGCCTTTTGACTGGTAGCTTCCCACCCCACTGTGTAGAAACACCCTATCTGGTTCAATAAGTAGCATTTAAGTAAGCTGGTATTAGTCACTGTAAACTGTATTATAAATTACATTATCTTGCCACTAAAGCATCTAACAGTCTTTTCTTTCCTAGGCCACTGTATAGTGGATGTGGAGCAGTATATAAATGTTCAAAGTAGTTATTGCATAAAATTGAATTACTAGCGTATAGGAATAGCTTGTTTCAACCCTTGTTTGGTTCTCAGTCAAAATTAACAGTTACTGAATTAGTTAATTCAGTCCACTTGGGCCTACACAGAGAGTGGGCAGAATCTCATTTGAAACCATGTGCCCTCTGTAACTACCAAACACACATTGTGCAGTGAGGTGGGTCATTAGGAAAGAACACCTCATAAAAATCCAAGGCAGACTTACCTCCCACCACCATTTGATCTACTTGTTTATGAATTCTCATGTTACAAAACATGACCAGGGTTGGTTAACTCTCCTCTCTCATGCCTTAATCTTATTCTTGTCATGGGATTCTAGAGTACATGAATTAACAGAGAAAAACACTTGATGTTAAACCAGTTTAGAAACCTGTGTACAGCCATGACTAATAGTCCTTAGGGATACCTGGACATGAAGGGATTCAAAATCTATTGGAAGAAAGAGGAATGTGTATAGACAGACAGACAATCAGTCTGTACCTCTGCTTCCCACTATATAAATTACATGTCTTCTTTTTAATCTCTTCAAGTCATGGCTGGATGGGTTAAAGTACTAATGGAATTCTGAACTGGATTCATAAGGGGGAAAATCATCATTTGGTTTTATTTAATCCTCACAACAGCAAACACTGGTGTTACAGCTAAAAGCGAACCCTGTCCAACAAAGCCAGCTTGGGATTTGGAGTGATGAATTTAAACTTCTCTCTTGAGTTGCATAAACATAGGCAAATCCTGGATTTCTGGAGCTTTATGTCCTGTTTTGAAAAGACAGAATGAGAAATATTACTGAAATCTAAAAGAATGATATCTTTGTTGCCAGCATGCTTGTAAATATAAAGTTTGCCATGTTTTTGACTTGCACACTTCTCAGTTTCAAACCACAGCCAAACAGTCAGCAATGTAGGTGGTGAAGCATTTCCCAACACTTTTCTCCATTCCAGGGAAAGCTTCATTGGCTAAATTGCTGTGCCAGGCTCATGTTACGGGCATAACAGCAATGCCTGTAAATAAGAGCTGTTCATTATGAGTAAATTAATCCAGAAGGTTTTGCGCAAGAAAGGTTAACATATATACATTTGGACAAGCTTTAGGATTACAGTACATAAATGCATTTAATCTAGTCCACCCCTTACCTGATGGAGGAAGTCCAAAGCTAGAGTATTACCATTAAGACATTTCACCTCATCTACCCCCTTGGAACTTAAGCCCATCAGACATAGTCCTGCTCTGTGACACACTGGGGACCAAGTCTTTGCCCTCTTCAAGTGTTCAGGAGTTTTGAACAGGCCTTCAGATGTTTGAAGAGGGTAATCATGTGTCCATGTTTCCCCCACACACACCCTGGTCTTTTCTCCATACTAAATACAAATACTTGCTTCAAACTTACCTCCCACAACTTGTTTTCATTATTTTATTTCATTTCTATATCATCCAATAGCCAAAGCCCCTTGGACAGTTCACAGCAATTCATAAAATTAGAGGCCACAAATACAAATAATAAATTACAACATAAAATTTCAAATCACAAAATTTAAAACAATTTAAGCAACTAGAAACAATTCTAATAAAAATACTAGAAGAGAGTGTTAGAAGATGGTTATTGAGAAGCGTCCCGAGACGTCAGTGATGGGACGATAGACAAATGTTTTAAATAAATAAGACAGCTGACATAAGGGTCCAACCATATGA